ATAGTTTTATGATGTAGCTATGGTTTTCTCTGACCTCAAATAGTTGCTTTTTTTTGATCCCATGACCTACACATTAGTAATCACTGCCTGAGTAAATGAAAAAATATTTTAAACTAATACAAGTAAGAATCTGGACTGAAGTGAGAGCACCCTACAACCAATAAAATTCCAGAAAACCCACCTCTACCTTTTCAAAATAATACCACCAAAAAGGAAAAAAAATCTTATATGTTAAAACTTTCTTACTTCTGCATTTGGTAGTTTCATAAACTTGAATTTGTGTAGCATCTGCAATGCATATATTTGAATGTATACAATTCTTCTCTACCTTTTCACTCCTTCTTAAGCCACTGGAACTTTGTTCAAAATTGTTCTTTTTCAACAAAATAGATGAACAAACAAAACTGAAACATACTCATAGACACTGAGAGCAAACTCGGGGTTGCCAGAGGGGAGCGGGGTTGGGGAAGTGGGTGAAAAAGGTGAAGGGACTAAGGACAACAAATTGATTATTTCAAAGTAGTCATGGAGATGTAAGTAAAGCATAGAAAATATAGTCAATAATATTGTGATAATTATGTATGGTGCCAGTTGGGGTACTGGAAATGTCAGGGGGGAACACTTTGTAAAGTATATGATTGTCTAACCCCTAAGCTGTACACCTGAAACTAGTACAAAATAAAATTGAAAGAAAAAAATTATAAGAACAAAAAATTTTATGGGAAATATATTTTTATTACTAAACATGAATGTTATAAACCTGGAAAATTAAAAATAATCATAGTGTAACTTTTAAAAATCAGGAAACAAAAGAAGTGATAGGAGAAAATGCATAAATGTTAATACTCTCATCTTTCTTAGTAAGAATTAATTCTACTAGCTAAAAACTATAACATGTAGCTTTTAAAAATCTCTAGCCACTTAATTCTCATTCTCTCTCCCTTCCTCCTTCCCACCCTCCCTTCCCTTTCTTTTCTCTGTTCTTAACGGAATATTTTATTATATGTCTTGTGGTAAAGTCACATTTATTTAAAATTCAAAATTCTTCCCATTTCACAATAATTTTTTTTTGTTTTGAATTCAAATAAAAGTAAATTATTAAATGGAATACGTTTTAATATAAAGAGCATCTCATTTTTACAAAATATTTATAGCTATCCTTTAACTGTATACATATACACAATATAATACAGAATAAAATATGTACATATATACATAAAAATTAAAAATTATTTATTCTTTGTCTTTGTTTTAAAGATAGTTTTCTAGAGCTTGCAAACCTTTTCCCATTACCAATATAATTACTATATTTTGGCAATGTTTTCAGGCTAACATTAAAGTCTTCCAAAAAATTAAAATTTAAGGCTGACTCTCTTTACACTGTTTTGAAAAAAACACTTAAAAACAATGGCAGGAGGACTAGTTACTTGGACTTTTAAGCTACACACCCTCGCCATCTCAGTTTAAATATACATTAGTTACATAGTATGTTCTGTGTGTGAATTACTCCCTCATGCCAATGTCTAAGTATTTATAAATCCACTCATTTAGCCTGGTTTTAAATATTTTTTATTATTTTTTTGTTTTTTGTTATTCCTCACCCAAGGATATTTTTCCATTGGTTTTTAGGGAGATTGGAAGAGAGAGGGAAAGACAGAGAGAAACATCAATGTGAGAGAAACACATCGATTGGTTGCCTCCTACAGGGGCCCCGACCAGGAAGGGCAATGCTCTATCCACTGAGCCAAACCGGCTAGGGCTGGTTTTAAATATTTTAAATAATTTATTACAGTTGAAACTTCTTATAACCTAGCTCTTCAGCGCATTAATTTTAATATTTCCCAGGTGGGACTGAGCCCAATATGATTCTACACAGAAATATTTCTTTAGGGAGGGCTAACATCCTTCCTAAAGGATACCAGTGTTAGAAGGTGAACTTTATTTATTGGTGTGTGTGTGTGTGTGTGTGTGTGTGTGTGTGTGTGTGTGTGTGTTATTTTCCCCCCTTTAGGAAATTATTTTCTCTGTTAATGAGCAATTTTCATAAACTGGAGCTTACTTATTCCATTTTTAGTCCTCAAAGCGCTCAATGTTCAGGACTTATTTGCTAAAATAGAAAAGACAACAAAATACACCAACTTGAGAATTAATGTACAGGACAAAACCTAAAGCATGTTTTAGAACGGCTGCCCTGCCAACTGTTTTTGTAAGATTGACTGACCTGCACTTTCTTTGCAGTCAAATTCAGGCGTCCCGCAATCTGCTCTCTGAGGGGGAAAATTGCAAATGTTCAGTATTTGGAGTTGTGGATAAAATAAAATATATCATGTACATTATTTCTATCCCCTCCGCCCAGTGCAATTGTCTCTAATGCAGCTTGAGGCTTGCTTTAAGGAGAATTTTCCCATGGACAACTTGTCTGTTAAATAAGATAGAAAAAGGGAATATAATAGTGTGTTTGTTAGTTAAATATAACTCAATCAATTTTTCTGTTTGTGGAACAGCAGAAAACAACCCTGGAAATCTTCTCATGGGAAGTCCCTCGGTAAAAATAAAAACAACACCTTTAAAGTGGCGTTTTTAACCAGATTATTTGTTTATTATAAAAGGGAGCCTAAACTCTCAAGGAGAAACTCCAAACCATTTTCTGGGAGCATCAAGAGAAATTCTATTTTGCTCTTTGGTGGGCGAAGGCTGAATACAGAGGAACCAGAAAGGGCGCCCCTAAACTTCACACCAACAACCCTCCAGGTGGCGGGGCCATTACTGGCTGGGGTGAGGCAGTGGCGCGCTCTCGTGTAACAAAATTTAAGGATGCAAAAAACAAAAGTTATCACGATAAATACTTTCATGCAATATTCAAATTATAAAAATTACGCAAAAATCAATGATAAGCAAAATACCAAAATTTTAAATAAAAGCAGGATTAATTAGATTCCGCCTTACTCTCTCACTCAAGTACTGCTCCGGTTTCCACAACCCCGAAAGCCTTGTAGACAACGGACCAACTAACACCAGAAAGCAAGGGCAGACCCCAGCACCCATGAGCCCCTTAAGTGGCTTTTGGTTCAGAAGAGGTGGGAAAGGGTCCTGAGGAAGAGCCTAAGGTTCCCCAGTATGAGCCCGAGCCCCCCCTGGAGAACAGTGCCTCCCGAACAAGCCACTTACCGTGCGAAAATGTCGGGATACTGACAGTGACGGAATAAGTACTCCAGCTCTTGCAGCTGCAACGCGGTGAACACGGTTCGGTAGCGGCGCGGATTCCTCTCCGCGACTTGTGGACCAGCCTCGGCTCGGGGGGCAGGCTCCAATTGCTGCTGCTGGAACTCCTGGCCGCCGCCGGCGACTCCCTGGCCGCCGCCAACGCCCTCACCATCGCCCCCACCGCCGCCCCGACGGGCTTCGTTGTTCAAGAGCCTGGGCTCTCCCCCGCCAAGGTAGTTCTGTGCTGCGGCTCCACGCTCAGGTTCAGACCCTGTACCTCCCTGGTCTCCCCCTGTTTCGGTAGGCGGCACATCTAAGGAGGGATGTAAGCAAAAGGGAGTGACCAGGGTGTTGGCGCCCACGGTGGTGGGCTGGCGGCGGCAAGGCGCCGCTGTGGAGGAGTGGTGGCGGCTGCCTCGAAGCACCCTGCCCACGTCCCGCCCAGGGAAATCCCTCTCCTCGAGTTCGCAGAACGGTTTTTCCGACTCTAGGCACTCACCATGCAGTTCTTCGTCAGCTCCTAGGTTGCGGTAGCTGGCGTCGCAGTAACTGCTCCCTAAATAAGATCTCATTTCTAGAGAGCTGTCGATGAAGTCTCGAGCTTCTCCAGAGTCTGCGTTGGTGCTCCTGAGATCCCCGGGTCCAAATGAAGCTAGCGTCTAGTCGTGAGCTGGCGCGCCTTTAAAAGGGTACTTTGTTGCTTTCTGAAAGTTCAAAGTGTACGCGCTCGCGCCGTCCAGACTTCGTACCTCTCTCGGTGATTGTGGAAACAGAGGGGGTAGCCCTCGCAGACCGGGTGTTTAAGTAAAATAGGGCGGCGAGAGTGTACAAGAGTGGTGCTGGTGTGCTTGAGTGAGGAACGGCGATTCCAATTTGCAGCTTAACTGACTACTTCCAACTCAGACCAAGTGTTTGATCGGAGGAATGGGCTCGCTGGACTGTGAAAGCCGTGTTGTGAGGCGGGAGGAGGGAAAGAATTCCCATTAGTTTTCGGAGCTCTTGGAGAAGTGTCTAGTGAATATTCCTCCGCCCACCCCTCCAAGTGGTGCAGCCAGCGAACGCGCGGGACTCCCTTGCTTTCGGAAAAGAGAAGTAAGGTGGAGGAAAGCGTGGAGCCCTCAGCAGCCAAGTACGCTGAAGCGAAGTTATTAGTAAATTTTGTACTGGGCTCTAGCGCGACTCTCCCCTCCCAGAAACTGGTGAGCCATTTATAGGACTGTCTGGGCTGAAAAACCGCGCCCAACTCGCATATCGAGCTAGTGGTTAAGATGAAATGATTAGCTTGGAGGCTGATGGCACAGGGTTTTTAAAATCAGTTTCCGTGCATTTTGGGAGCCAGGGTTTGGGGGTGGGTTTGGAGGAGCAGATGCGTGTTGCAGGAAACCCCACGTGCCTCCCGAGAAAGCTCCAAGGACTTCAGATTTTTAGTAATGAACCCTCGTCAGAATGCGAGTGTAGAAACCTGCCAAATGCTTAGTGCATCCAAGAATGCATGCTGCACGGGGGGTGGGGGTGGCTTCTTTCAACCTGGCGCATGTAACATTTGCTGAGCTAGATCGCTGCGCTCTTTACTGCACGGTGCAGTAAAGTAGACCTGGAAAGAGTTTTCGCCTTCTCCACTACCACCTCTTCCCCTCCCCCTCCCTTTTTGTAGAATTATTTACTGAATAAAATAAAAGCCAGGCTACCATTGAAGACTCCTAAGGTTCTTCAATGCCCTTCATATTATAAGAATAATTTCTAATAATGGGCCCTCTGCTTGGCACTGTAAATAATTTCTCTTACCTTTATCTTTTAAATCACCATTATTCTCATTCTCCTCCCCCCCCTCCCCCGCCCCTTTTACCCACACACGCAAAACTGAGCTCCAGGAAAGTCTGGCAACTTGCCCATGGTCATAATTTTTTAAAATTATATTTTACAACGGTGTTGGTATAAAGGTAAATATAATCTGGGCTTCATTATATTATTTTTTATTTTGATTTCAAAAGAAATTAACAAATGTTCATGGGATCCTAAAAGTCGTAGTTACTGTGACTACTGTGCCTAATGGAGAAGTCCAGAGGGCGGTGAGTAGGAAACTAGCAAATAGATGGTTGGATGACCAATTCACTTTATTTTTTATTTTTTTAATTTGTCTATTGTTGAAAGTATTACAGATGTTCTCCTTTTCTCCCATATTGACCCTCTCCACCCCATACCCCTACCCCCAGGCCCATGGCATTTTATACTCCAATAATGAACTCTCAAAAAGGGAAACTAAAAAAAACCCAAAACAATCCCATTTACCATTGCAACCAATTCACTTTCAAAAAGATGTCAACCCCACAGCACCTCTCTGACTTTAATCAAGATATTTCTGCAGGCTGGCTCTGGCTGAGTTCCACAGGTTTCCCTCTCCTTTTGGCTAGATACCTGGTGAACAATTTTGGCCTGGGTTGAGATAGTACATAAGAGAATCATGCAGGTTTTAAGCATGGTGTGCAGTGGCCAGCTAGTACGTTGGTAACAGCTCAGGTGTGTTCTGTCACATCTTAGATTTCCATGGTTTATGTATGTACTGTTTTGTAAGTCTCAGTCAGTCATGTCTCCCTCACAAACCTGGATACCAGCCATGGTAATGTTTACTTAACGTATTTACTTAAATTGATTCACTTTTTGAAAACCTTAAATACCTAACTGAACCTCATCCTAGACAAAAATAGCTATGAATTCAAGGGTTTGACAAATGATATACCAGATTTATGTGAGGTAGAGCATGGCAATAGTTGAGAGCAGGGACTCTGAAGCCAGACTGCTGGTGACTAAATCCTTGCTAGCTGGCTAATCTGGTGAGTTGTTTATTCTCCCTGAGCCTTAGTTTTCTCATCTGTAAAATGGGAATAACTATTACTAACTACTTAATGGGGTTGTTGTGAGGATTAATTGAAATTATTACTATAGCTAACATTTGGCTAATTCTTACTATGTGTCAAATATTGTTCACAGTGCTTTCTATATATTGACACATTTAATTTGATAATAGCCCTATGGAGGTAGATACTGCTACTGGTATTATCCTTATTTTATGGATGACCTTATTGAGTCACAGAGAGGTTAAGTAACTTGCCTAAAGGTACCCAGCTAGTAAGTGTTGGGCCTATGATTTGAATCTTTCTAGAATGATGCTTTGTTGAGAGAACATGCTCAATAATGGTAGCTATTATGATTTTTTAAAATTAAATATACTATACTGTCAGTTCTAGTATATTCACAATGTTGTGCTGCCATCACTGTTATCTAATTCCAGAACATTTTCATCATCCTATAAAGAAAGTCTGTACCCATTAGCAGTCATTTCCTAGTCCCCCTCACTTCTTACAGCCACTGGTAAACACTAATGTACTTTCTATCTTTGTGGAATTACATGTTCTGGATATTTCATATAATTGGACTCATGGAACATATGGCCACTTGTGTCTGATTCCTTTCACTTAGCATTGTGGTTTTGAGGTTCATCCATGTTCTACCAGTACCTCATTCCTTTATATGGCTGAATAATATTCCATTGTATAGGTATACCGTGTTTTGTTTATCCATTCATTAGCTGATGGGCATTTTAGTCATTTATACTGTTTGGTGATTGCTTTGAACATTCAAAAAAGTTTTGTCTGAATATGTTTTTAATTCTTTTGGGTATGTATTAGGAATGGAGTTACTGGATCATTTGCTAATTCTATGTTTAACTTTTTGTGGAACCGCCAAACTGTTTTCCACAGCAGATATATATACCATTTTACATTCCTATCAGCAATGTATAAGGATTCCAATTTATCTACATTCTTGCCAACACTTATTTTCTATATTTTAAAAAAATTATAGCCATCTTGATAAGTGTCAAGTGTTATCATTGTGGTATTCATTTGCATTTTTCTAATGACCATTGATATTGAGTATCTTTTAATTTGTTTGTTGATCATTTGTATATTTTGAGGAATGTCTGTTCAAATATTTTCCCCAGTTATTAATTGGGTGTTTGTTTTTTTTGTTATAGAGTTGTAAGAGTTCTTTTTATATTCTGGATACTAGACTCTTTATGATTTACAAATAGTCCCTTCCATTCTATAAGTTTTCTTTTCACTTTCTTTTTTTTCTTTTAATCTATATTGTTGAAAGTGTTACATAGGTCCTCCTTTCCCCCCCATTAATCTCTTCCAGTCCACTCCCGTTCCCCCCCACCCCAGGCCGTCACCATCCCATTGTCTGTGTCCAGGGGTTATGCATATATGTATACAAGTTCATTGGTTGATCTCTTCCCACCCACCCTTCCCTGCCTCCCCTCTTTTCACTTTCTTAATAGTGTCCCTTTATGTTTACAATCACAAGCCTACCCTTATGTGGCTTTGGAGTTCAAATGAACACTATCAGCATAGTCCAATTCAGTCCTGGTAGCAAACCCAGACTTGTGGCAAAAGCAAATCTCATCCTTTCCTTTCTGGAGGGGTCTCACAGTTAAAGTCCTATCAATTTAAAAGCCACATTAGCACAAACAAAAAATAAATCTGTAGATCTCTACAGACTTATTATCAGATGCAAACTATTTAAAAATGTGTTTAACATGTTTAAATAAATAAGAGGATATACAAACACAAGGGATACATAACTAAATATCAATAAGAAACAAAGGATTTCTAGAAATGGAACTAAAAGATTAATTCATTTTTCTTTTTTTATTGTGGCAAAATACACATAATGTAAAATTTACCATCATAACTATTTAAAGTGTATAATTCAGTGGCATTTAGGACAATGATATGCAATCATCCCCACTATCTAGTTCCAGAACATTTTCATCATTTCAAAAGGTAACTTTTACCCATTAAATTAATGGAATTATGCAATATGTGTTTTTTGTGTGTGTCTAGCTTCTTTCACTTTGCATAATGTTGTCTAAGTTCATCCACATTGTGGCATAAATCACTACTTCATTTCCACTTACTTGGAGGCATTAGGCACCAGCCTCCAGGAGCTAAATGCCAGGATAATCTGGAGCTGATGTTTCACACAGAGGCTTAGAGACCCTCGTTGTGGCTTTGGCACTGCCACACCAAGATGGCACCCTTACCTTCCTTCTCCTGGCTGAAGGCCAACTGGCTGATGTAGTCTTAGACCTGAGGAGCCCTGCAAGGCAACGATACCTTTGTGAAGGAGCTAATAATTTATAAACTGAAGCAATCTTCTGATGGTTTTTAAGGATCTTTGGAGTCAAGAGAGCTGTAATATTATGGAAGTTTCATTCTTATTTATTTATTTAGTATTTTTTAATATGATGTTTTTTAAATCTTTATTGTTGAAAGTATTACATAGGTCCTCCTTTTTCTCTCATTAATCTCTTCCAGCCCGCTCCCGTTCTCTACCTCCTCCCACCCTTACCACCCCATTGTCTGTGTTCATGGGTTATGCATATATGCATACAAGTTCATTGGTTGATCTCTTCCCATCCACCCTCTCTTGTCTTCTTTCTGAGGTTCAACAGTCTGTTCATGCCTCTATGACTCTGGGTCTATTTTTGATTATCAATTTATTTGGTTTATTAGATTTCACATATGAGTGAGATCATGTGATACTTATCTTTCTCTGCCTGGGCTTATTTCCCTCAGCACAATGCTCTCCAGGTCCATCCATGCTATTGCAAATAGTAAGAGTTCTGTCTTTTTCTATTGCCATGTAGTATTCCATTGTGTAAATATACCATAGTTTTTTTATCCACTCATCTGCTGATGGGCACTTAGGCTGTTTCCAAGTTTTAGCTATTGTAAATTGTGCTGCTATGAACATAGGGGTGCATATTCGTTCTTATAGATTAATTTTTACTGCAAGTAAGGGTCACTTGTCCCAGGTGTTGACAGTGGTGAGAAAGGAGTGGAGGGCCCTGACTGGTTTGGCTCAGTGGATAGAGCGTTGGCCTGTGGACTCAAGGCTCCCAGGTTCGATTCCGGTCACGGGCACCAAAAATAAATAAGTAAAATAAGTGAAAGCAGTGCCTCCTTCTTAGGGGCCACTGCCTGCGGCAGAGCTTAGTGATGCTCACTCTTGCCCTGACTGGTTTTGCTCAGTGGATAGAGCATTGGTCTGTGGACTCAAGGGTCCCAGGTTCAATTCCGGTCACAGGCACCAAAAGTAAATAACTAACAAAAACTAAAAACAATGCCTCCTTCTCAGGGGCCACTGCCTGCGGAGAAAGGAGTGGAGGGGCTTTCTGGTCATTAAGACTGATATGAAGAGTGTGGTGGCTTTTGATGAAATGCCAGTGAGGAGATGTCTGTTTTTGTTAACTAGCATTAATAAGTTATTCATTCATGTCAGAAGCCAAAACTTGGGCTTTTAAAAAAATAGGCATTACTTCTTAGAGATGTAAGGGGCATATCGTGGCTTCTTATACTTACCTTTGGGAGGACCACAGGCTCTTGAGACTGTGTCTTCACTGACAAAGTGAGAGGAAAACTCACTGAAGCTATTTGAACATCTAGTTCTAGCATTTAGAGAGGACAGGAGGGAAGGAAAGACAGCTTATAGATATCTGCAACTGCTGGTGATTTTATGTGGCAATAAAAGTGACTGATTTTTTGCATTTCATATCCTATCTTAGAACACCACAGACCCTTCAGGTTTATTTCATGAGACTAAATCATTTGTACACAAAATTCCATCCAGAGTCTGGGCCTCTTTGCATAACCGGAAGTCAAGGATAAAATTCCATGATTTTGTCTTTCGATTCTGCCTAATATCTTTGCACAACATGACCAAAAAACTTATAGAATGACTGTTGTTAATAGCTACAAGTGAAGATGCAGGAATCCAACACCACTCCTACGGATTTCTTTAATCTATATAGGGCAGCCTGGGCTCAAGTC